GCGTTGTTATGAATTCGTCGTAGATAATTTGAATAGGTTGGCGGACGGGCTATTTCGTGAATTCGGTTGGAGCTAGGCAAATGGAGCGTAGATTATGTTGGTTGGAAAATTAGAATTTGCTCCTTAGTTCTAACAAATTTGTTACATGACACATGACCTCGTACCCTTCAGTAATCCGAATTTAATAAAGCTACTTGTTCAACTATTCGTGATTAATTTGCTACATTTGAACCGTCGCCTCGCCGAAACTGACTCGACCTCCGTAGCTTAATAGCTTCGTAATTCAGCCCACAAGTAAGTTCATAACACGCGTCGAATTGAGTATCCGGCTCCTGCTTGATTCCCGATCATAGAGCCGTCGGAGAAAACAAAGAGGTCTATCATGGATTGTTGGGCATACCATTTAGTGAAGGAATTGACTCTCGCTGTTCGGCCAACAGCGCCTATCTTTTACAAACATTCATCGCGTCCAACTTTCCAAGGGGAAGAAATGTTATCCTCTGAGAGCTCGGGAGAAATCCTTTCTCGGGTCCCGCGCATTCTTGAAGAATTCCACCGTCTACAAAGAAGGTGTCTAGTTTCTGCTGCCGCAGTACGTAGGGCGAGGCGATCGTGTTTGCGCTCGGGCCAGGATTTTGCGGGCTCCAACCTGTTTCCCGAAGAACAGCTATTGGTGTAGTATAGAATACAGGAAGTGCTGCGCGAGCAGCATCGTTCATCCGTTGTTGGATCCGAAGGACCAGTCCTTCCGAAGCTCCTTTAGAATACCATGTCTCAGTCCCATAGAGCAAGGTCGCGAAAGCTGCACCTTGGAGCGCTTGTCTCAAAAGTAGAGGGCTCATTCCTGGGGTGACTCTCGAAAGACTTTTAATGTGGCTTGTAATAGCCAGGGATCTTCTGCATGCTTGTCTGACATGTTCTCTAAATCGGAGGCTCCGATCGAAGATGACCCCAAGCCAGCAAGTGTGGGCGTTTGGTGTGATCTCAACTCCATCTGCATATACAATCGGCTCTAGTGGAGATCCGTGCTTTGGTGGAAGTATTGTAGCTCTGTTTTCGAGACTTCAAGGGCAATACCGTTCTCATGTCCCCAGGCGAGGGTGTTATGGCTCAGTATTACTGTTACTCAGTCTATGTTGTGGTTATGAGCTATGCGGAAGTCACATTGCGGTGTGATGAGGAGTGGATGATGTTATAATTAGTTGTTGACAGTGAATAGACTCACACAATATTGTGCTGTAGGTATATGGACAGAAATTATAAGACTAAGCCTGTATCCATTTATTGTGGGTACATCTATGAAACTATATACATGCTTGCCTAACCAGTACACTAGTGATGTATGCTGTAGCCTTGGGCCACACGTGGTGCTCTAGCCTCGACTACCTTGTTGTCTCATATCATAACAGTTTCAACTTATTAGGGAAGCGTCTTTCGAATACTTGAATAGAGGCTTTTGCGTTAACTGTTGTAATTAAGGGAGTAACATGACCGCATTACAATAAACTGTTCACATTAGAATCATGTGCACATGCGTCATGGGATATGTTTGACCTAAATCATCACTCACTGGTATGACATAGTATTTCCCAATAGATTCCTAATGGTATCTATTGGCGCTAGGATATCTCACATCCCTCCTTTCTCGGTTAGACAAGGACATATGTTGGAGCTTCCACTGGTGTGCAAAACCCCCTTATTCATATAGATAACTTAAGCAATTATTAAAATAGGAAATTCAAACAATCTCCATGTTATTCACACACTTGAGAATACTAGGGAATATTCTCAAGTCCGTCCATTGATCCAAGTCCTAAGAGTATAACTCACGAACCTCACTTCTCTTAAAGCCATAGCTATCTCCTTCCATACCTTCATCCTAACGGTACGTCATTCCAGCTCAGCATAGCCTTTCAATAACAAGCACGCCGTTTTCCTCGTGAGAAAGCCGGTCTGTGACAAATACCTTTTCCGTATATTATGAGATCATTGATAAAACTCCAATGATCAAATGTTTTATGCGGTGAATGTAGATACACTGATTGCTACTGGACTTCTTAAATTGAAACGTAAATAGTATACTGCGGAGTTTGTTATTTCAAGCCTTTCCTGATTGTTTTAAGTCGTACAGCGCCTTATTTACTCAACGAACTTTAATTTGGGTATCCCTCCTGGTGTCACAGACCGGCTTTCCCACGAGGAAAACGGCCTGCTTGTTACTACCATTGCGCCATAGTCTAATGCTGAGATGCTGCGTTTAGTCCGGTCAACCAAGTCAGGAACTTCCCTAGTAACATAGTCAATGCGTTGCGATGGTTACAATGTTATGATAGCAACAGTTACTAATCAACATTGGGGGACTGTTCTCAACACCTGTCAGTGGTGTCCCCTACGAACCTCCAGCTCTCATTGTAGAGTCTGCAGAGCCGAGATTGAGTAACAAAGTCCTCACTTCGACGAGTATTCCCAATCGCCTTCGCGGTCTGTATCGTCTTCATCTCTCAACACATTCCCCTATCACCACTATCATGAAGCTAATCACGATCAGATCAGATGGCAGGGTCGGAGCCCTATTTATCACCGACCATTGATCGTGGAGGAAAAGCCGTCCGATGAGTTTCCGGAGCGTACTCAGCACCCGATACTGAGATGGCGGAGTGGATCAAGTCGGCCTCGACTGTTACAAAAAAGGGAGATGTAGATGAATATGAGCACCTCATGTGGTCCCGATGTCTAGGCCTCGCCTGGCTGGGGCTGCAGGGGTTTTGGGACTTTTCTCTAGGCGCGCAGTTTCTATTGCTACTATTTATATTTTTTTGGGTAGAAGGTTCCATGGATAAGGTGACCAAATTTTACGGGTTAACACTGAGCTGAATAGCTACTCATCAAGGGCAATATATCAATCATCTTTCGAGTAACAAAATAGGAAAGGAGCACTGTACATGGTGCGGTCTGCGTCAGAGAGGAGCCCAACGTGCTAGATAGTAATGGCTCAAGTAGTACAATAAACAAACTCACTCACTTACTCACTCACTCACTTGTGATCTAGTACTGACCCCTCTCACGTCCATCCTAAAGAATTATCTCCCAGATTTGTGCGCCACGCCTTGCTTCCTCCGTCGGGTGAAAATATCAGCGTGGGAGTGTATTTGGTGGTCAGCTGAGGCCAGAGAATAGTTGATGTGAGATGTGGTCATCGAAATAAGGATATACTAGGTCGTACTTGTAGACTTGATCAGGCTTAGGTAGGAGTTGAAGTCGTTGGGTGTGAAAGTTTGACGATGTGGAGTAATTTGAATCATTGCCTCGTGGGCCAACTTGTTCGATATCTCGAAATTTGACTGAACTTGGCTCTGGGAGAATATTTCACTCCCGGGTCCGTAGAACGAACCGCGTACAGGTTTTCATTCTTGCCCTCCTGGCGATTGGCTCGTGTGTGTGAGTTTATTGTGCTACTTGAGCTATTACTATCTAGCACGTTGGGCTCCTCTCTGACGCAGACCGCACCATGTACAGTGCTCCTTTCCTATTTTGTTACTCGAAAGATGATTGATATATTGCCCTTGATGAGTAGCTATTCAGCTCAGTGTTAACCCGTAAAATTTGGTCACCTTATCCATGGAACCTTCTACCCAAAAAAATATAAATAGTAGCAATAGAAACTGCGCGCCTAGAGAAAAGTCCCAAAACCCCTGCAGCCCCAGCCAGGCGAGGCCTAGACATCGGGACCACATGAGGTGCTCATATTCATCTACATCTCCCTTTTTTGTAACAGTCGAGGCCGACTTGATCCACTCCGCCATCTCAGTATCGGGTGCTGAGTACGCTCCGGAAACTCATCGGACGGCTTTTCCTCCACGATCAATGGTCGGTGATAAATAGGGCTCCGACCCTGCCATCTGATCTGATCGTGATTAGCTTCATGATAGTGGTGATAGGGGAATGTGTTGAGAGATGAAGACGATACAGACCGCGAAGGCGATTGGGAATACTCGTCGAAGTGAGGACTTTGTTACTCAATCTCGGCTCTGCAGACTCTACAATGAGAGCTGGAGGTTCGTAGGGGACACCACTGACAGGTGTTGAGAATAGTTCCCCTAAAAACTGCTGTATAGACGCCGTTGTACAAATTCCTCCGCAGCCTCGGCCACCACACCCCCGAAACCTTGACATCCTCATTGACTCCGAAATATAAATGCCGTCCAATATATCATCTTTGCTCTAGCCTTGCACCTTCATATCGTACCGTTGGGTTGTTGTCTTCATCGGGGGTTTGTGCGATCCCCTCAGTATATCTTCCCCTTTCTTTCTCCTTTGTACACGTCCTGTCCCCATCATGGATTTCCTCATTAGGGCGTGTATAGGTAGGCGATGTGATGAGTATGGAGGTGAGTCGCAGGTGTAAGATCGACTGAGAAATGCTTCGTCGCAAATATATAAGAAGTTTGAGAGATGTCGGATGTTTTAATATGACCCCCAGACAAACCTAGGTCTATTCGTGAATCGTTTGTTTTTGGTGATGAGTTTCTGATTGACTTTTTTGCGGTTGTGAAATATCTGTCAACTGAATTTTCGACCAAAATACCGAATAGAACTCTTTCAAGCCGACAATCCATCAAGTATAATTTATCTCGCCCTTGTTCGTTACTCGATAACGACTCTAGGAGAATATTTCAATCCCAGGTTCGTGACGGACACTACTGACAGGTGTCAAGCCTCCGTCTTCATTGTTATACTTAAGGACGCAATGAACAGCGCTACTAACAGCGGACCGTCACGTCCCGAGTTCGGATGAGTAATCATAATCCATGGTTGGTCGAGACGAATGCAGTAGTCGCAGCTCTCACAGGGCCGTGTAATCGTTATCAACCGACGACTCATGTTCGATCGATGAAGGTTTCCCCCCGGTGCCATGTAAAAGTCACTAAAATAAAACCTAATATTACTTTAATGCGAACAAGCGTGGTTCCACTATTAAAATAAGATAGGTCACGGAAATAATGGAAGTCATCGATCCGACCACTGGCCAATCATTGCCACCGGACTCTATTCAGAGGGTCCTACACATCTCACCCTCGGTACTTATCTACAATATTCCACCCCTCTCCTCTAGCAAAGGTTACATCGCTGCATCCTGGACAGCAGACAAGAAGCGACATATCTTCACAGCCCGTCTACGAATCATCGAAACAGCTGTTGCTCTATCTTCAGCTCCTTCAGACGAAAAGCTGAGAGTCGATATTATCCTTGAAGATCCCAATAGTGGACAGCTGTTTGCTGCAGCTCCTTATTTTCAGCCAGAAGTGGTACTTCAAGCACTTGATTCGAGTCGTTTCTTCGCTGTTCGTGTCCAAGGCGAGGGCGGACGAAAAGCTGTTTTAGGAATTGGGTTTGAGGAGCGCACTGAAGCTTTTGATTTTAGCGTTGCGCTTCAAGGGGTCAGAAAGACATTAGCATTCGGAGAAACAGATAAACTGAGTGGTCAGAGCAAAGCGCCAGAAGAAAAAAAGGAAGAGCGACAAGATTTTAGATTGAAAGAGGGAGAAATGGTAGTAGTTGATTTAGGAAACAGAAATAGGCGAAAGCTAGATCCGACGAAGAAAGGGAATGAATTTTCTAGCTTATCCCCTTCAACTGATGGGCTATTACCGCCACCACCAAGTGCTGGAGATATCAAGAAAATGAATCGAAGCAACGTTGAACCGCAGCAGCCAGATCTAACAGCGCAGAGTGCAGAAGAAATGGGGTTTGATAATGGGGAGTTTGGAGAGTTCCAATAAAGTTTTGGCTTAGCATAAAAATATAACTTTCATAATTTAATCCTTGAAATTGTTAAAGAACTCGACAGCTTATTATCTACTTCAGAGGTGAGTCAAGGTTTAAAGCCCAAATAAAATCTGCTGCCTAACTTAGAGACTTTGGATAATACCAAAACTCCCCATAATTATCCAAATTACAGCTTATACGGTGCACGCTTTACAATTAGATATATGTGGACCTCTTGTCCCTCTGTCTGCTTCCAAAAATTCATGTAGAAATACTTAGATGGACGTTCGGCTTTTCTTGTCCAAAAACACAAGAAATAGAAATAATCTATAATTATTTTGCTCAATACATACTCATTTTTATTTATTTTTATGAAGTGTCAGGAATAATAATCATGTGAAGGTATCTATTCAAATTTATACACATGAAAATATGAATAATAAAGATCAGGCTCTATCTAAATAATCTTGTAACTGAAAAACATTTGTGCCTTCGAACTAGCTCAGTCTACAGAAAAATGCCTGGAAACATATAAAGATTAAAGCTTGGGAAATTGTATAGCCTTTGGACTTTGATATCGAAATTATTAGGGAGTGTTTTTGTATGATATGCAAAAATTCTGGATACTTTTTTGTAGAATTATTTTAGTCTTAGATGTGTGCCAACGTATAAAACTCAACACGAGACTAGATACCACGTACTGGCTTGCACAGTCTATTCGGATTAATCGAAATAATAAAACTAGCGAACCAAATTCTCAGCGCACAATAGACGAATCATACAATGAAGATTATGGCTCTACTTACCGTCCTCTCGTATAACACCTTCCCAGTCTCTACCTATCCCTATTATTTTGTACAGAATTTTCACGATCTAGTATCTATCCTTTGCAACACCATAGGATCTATATTCTTCATAAAACATCTAAGACAAGACATCTAAAAGGGATGTCTTCTGTATATGCTCTAAACCATGTACTTCACCCCTATGGTTTTACGTCTACCCAATTTAATGAGTATATTTTTCGCTGTATATTACAAATAAAGTAGGGTCCAAAGCCGTGTTATTTCTTTCGAACTTTATGTTAGGGAGAAAGTAGCGAGTAATTGGAATTTTGAATAATGTTAAGTTATCCACAAATTCTAATAGCTTCTTGGTTAATGGTGAGACGTCAATCTACTACTTATTTATTCGCTCTCAGGATCTCTGCAACGCGGATTTTAAATATAAGATCACGAGTACAAGTCCTGTAAACAAAAATGTTTAGAATTGCTTTCCAGTTCCGATAATAGGTAGAACTAGCTGCTGGATCTATAAAATTTCAAGCGAGAGAAATTGCCCGCAGAGTTAATTTCTTCACCTTCCAGCGGTGCTGCTTTAAAAACCCAGTATGATCTGCAATTCTGGAGTATCCAAGACGAATCGCATCTGAATCGAATCTGAAAGTAAATATAAACGCAGCTATAATTGGCTTCATATTCATATCGCTCATACTATTCTCGTATACCTCCTCCAACTCACTTTACCACAACCCAACTCGCCTCAAACATCGGTTAAGAAGTCTTTCTAACTGCGAAGGAGAACTTACCTGGTAAATTATCGAGGTTTCCCTGCCATAAAGTTACTGTGCGACTTACAACCATAAGGAGGAAAATAAGTCGTGAGATGCATAGATTTTGTTTCGTGTTATATGAGACGCTGATCTACAAGAGCACTTTATCCTGAGAAAGATATGCAACTGGGATACGGAACGAGAGAGAGTAGAGGTTATCGATGAGAACATTGTAACTAACTTTTTTCGAGTGGTTTTCAACTTTAGACCGTTTGTGTACGCCAAGGCTACGGTTTCGTGTAATTATCTAGGATGAATTCTATTATCGATGAGTCTACGGCACTACCCAGTTCCCCAGAAGGCACAATGAAGTTTGGCTGAGCTTATTTATAGCAATCACGCTCTGTCAACACTTCTCTAAAATTTCAGCTCGACCTTCGGGAAGAAGTTCGTCCTTCATAGTCATAGATTTGAAATATTTAACGTGACAGGATGGACCCTACACCTACTTAGACGTGACACGGGTAGATGAGCTCTGAGAGCTCATTGCTACCTACATGACCGGCATTAAAGCTAGAAGCGACAAAGGAAACTAAAAAGAAAGGAACAATAAATGTCTGAAATACAGGGCCCTGCGCCGTATCCTCATCCTCCAAGCAGATCTCCTCTCAAGTTGGAATCTGTCTCAGCGTGGTCATCTCCCACCCTGTTCATTCTTCAGCAGGCTGTAGCATCTAATAGTGGTTAAGAATTGGATAAACTTCTGCCATCCCTTCTATTCATAGTCATAGGCTCAGTAAGGACTTAAATTTAATTACATTATATTCTATTCTATTCTATTCTATTCTATTCTATTCTATTCTATTCTATTCTATTCTATTCTATTCTATTCTATTCTATTCTATTCTATTCTATTCTATTCTATTCTATTCTATTCTATTCTATTCTATTCTATTCTATTCTATTCTATTCTATTCTATTCTATTCTATTCTATTCTATTCTATTCTATTCTATTCTATTCTATTCTATTCTATTCTATTCTATTCTATTCTATTCTATTCTATTCTATTCTATTCTATTCTATTCTATTCTATTCTATTCTATTCTATTCTATTCTATTCTATTCTATTCTATTCTATTCTATTCTATTCTATTCTATTCTATTCTATTCTATTCTATTCTATTCTATTCTATTCTATTCTATTCTATTCTATTCTATTCTATTCGGGAAGGAGTTGGGAGAAGGCTAGAAAGACAGGCTGAATTTACCGAGGTACACACAAGTCTGCAGCGCCCAGCTGCCCGGATTCTCCGAAACGCTTCAGAAGTATCACTATGTCTTCAGATCTGGTCCTAATGTCGGTATTAGAAGAGCTCCGCACCCAGTGGCTTTTGCGATTTTTCCCGGCTGCCATACACCCGCAAATGGCCATCGTCTCGTTGGCTGGAGAGGGGAGATAATGAAGGGCAAAGGGCTCCTCTAAGTGTATGATCGAGTGAGGACTTGTGAGGGGTGGTACTGTTTGAGGGGAGCTGTATGGGAGGCATAGGAGGGGATATACTACTGGTATAGGTATCCTTGGCCTGTAGGTAGAGAGAACCTGTAAGTCCTACATAGTTATAGACTCAGACAGGACAATAAAATGAAATTATAATAAATAATAAGGCACTCGGACCGATAGGCGTACTACCGTCTAATTGCGGCAAGGAATGGCCAAGGGGACTACGCCGACTACCATCGTCGTTTCAAACCCGAACACGAGTATCTGAAATACGTTTGCAGCAGGGAGAAAAGGCCCTGGCATTTTTCAGAGTGCCGATCTGCTTCGTAACGTTGGAGAAGCTGTGAGATATAGCTCCACCTGGGGTCAGGGAAATGATAGGGGAGAAGGGATGACATAAGTTTATTCAAAACTTAACCACAAGCAGATGCTACAATCTTCCGAAGAATGATCATGATGGACGGTGACCATTCTGAGATTGTTTCTAACTCGAGAGGAAATACGTTTGGAAGAAAGGGATGCGGCGTAGGGCACCGTGACTCAGACATTTAGTGTATGTTTATTTTCTTTGGTCGCTTCTGACTATACAGCCGGTCATGTAGGTAGCTATGGGCTCTCAGGACCCGTCTACCCGTGTCACGTCTAAATAGACGTTGGGTCCGGAGGGCAAGACTAAACACCTGTACGCGATGTCCTCTACGAACCTGGGAGTGAAATATTCTCCCAGAGCCAAGTTCAGTCAAATTTCGCAATATCAAAGAAATTGGCCCACGAGGCAAATATTCAAATTACTCCACCATGTTAATCTTTCAATCCCAAAGAGTCCGATTCTCAACTAAGCTTCATCAAGTCTACAAGTACGACCTAGTACATCCTCATCCCTATGACCACACCACTCCTCGATCTTCTCTGGCCTCAGTTGACCACCAAATACATGCCCACGCCGATATTTATACCCGACTGAGGAAGCAAAGCGTGGCGCACAAATCTGGGAGACAGTTCTTTGGGATGGACGTGAGAGGGATCAGGACAAGATGACTAGATGATGCGAAGGAAGGATATGACCTCGAACGGCGTGAGATTCCGAACTTTGGCAAGGAGTTTTACGAATTGAGCTTTGTGCGCGCCAAGACTTCGCTTGCGATAGTGCAGTTAACACTACAAAAACAAGCAAACAATGGAAGGCGTTGTGATCCGCTTTCTGGTGGAATTCTCCGGTAAAGTCTGAGTAGCCTGGGCACCTACTCCACTTGGGAGGGAGACATCTCAGATTACGTTTCGCGCGGAGAAAAGCTGAAAGATGATGGAGGCATGTCTGGATAACTCAGGGTTTTTGAGATGTTCCCCTGGGTGGGTATTCACGGATGAGGGTTGACTTGGGGTGAAGAAAAAGCCGGCATAACTTCGCAGTGGTATTCGCAAATGAAATCTGAGGCATGAGTGCTCTTCTCTTACGTTGAATCATCTATTCTGTACTTTACTTTGATATTGTGTCATAGCTAGATAGCTGCATACGCAACTAAAATCTGATGCAAAAAATAAAAAAGGGGGTCCGTCCTGTCACGTTACAGATTTCAAATTCAACTTCAAATAAGGTACACGGAATCTACAGTCCAATCTGTCGATGTAGCTACCAATCGTATAGCTCCAATCAAAAAGTTATGTCCTATCCTCGATGGTCATGTAGTAAAAAAGAGATTTGGAGACAAGCTAAAGATCGGTCCTATGAAGCTATTATAAATAATCCTGGTGATATCAAAAGAATTACTCAATGAATCCTAAATCAAAATTGTTTGGGGCAATTCAAGATGACAACGGCGGTCGGAATGTTGCTGATGAAAAGAAACAGGGCGAGCAATTCTTGTTATCGATATGGATGATGTGATCGGTGTACATGGAGGGCATTAGAGTGTAACTGCGCTTCCTAAAGATACGTTAGAAAATACAGAAAATAAACTGGAAATTTAGGAGGATTTTCGCCAGAAGATTTTCTCTCATGTAGGGATTACAGTTCAAAGACGCTTGCATGGGCCAATCTGGCGCCAGATTAGGATAATAGATACAAAAAATCCATAAAAGAGGCTTGAAGTTCTCATGCTAAAACATGGCCGCACGTGATCTGACACGTAACCTCTCCCTCCGCCAATCAAGTGTATTTTTTCGTTGAGGAATGAAAACAATCTGCGCAATCAGCCAATTTGTATTCAAACCTCCATTTATCTCATTGAGCGTAATCCAAAAGTCAAATATAACAGAGGAATCGTAAAAGCCATTTATTATGGACGCAAATATATCATTAACTCAAACTGATACAGTATTACTCCCCAACTTGTATCATTCTCACAGTGAAAGAATATTGAACTCTAGGTAATTATTAGTTAAAAGCTGTAAAGTCGGAGCTTTCCTCCGTGACTTTAGATTAGGCGTCCCTATTGTTGCATCTTTTCGATGATGTAAATAAGATATTACTAGATGAAATAAATTCGCGGCACGTGTCTAATCGAGGAGAAATCACAAGTTAAATTCCATTTCAGGTAATAACAACCCCGCTGAACCGGATAGGTAGCAAATTCACAATTATCATCCAAGATAAGTTTCCACTCTCAAAGAGTATGGCAGACGCAGCTGCCAAAATGAAGATGAGTGCTACACCTCCAGGTCAATTCGAGTTCGTTTATAAGTATCTGTGTATCGATAGGATCAACTAAAGTCCCGTTAGTATTGTCCAAACATATCATCAACTTCTCAGAGAAGACCCCGATATTACCATGCCAGTCGCTGCAATAGAAGCACTTATACATCTCCTATCCATAACTCAAATCACAACGATCTATGAAACGCTCGATCTCATTAATACTCAGAGCGCCCAGCTTAAGTCTCATGTAGCGAATCCAATCTCTCTTTCTGCTGGTACGGATCTATTTCAGCGGTATTTACTTAATTCGCTAAAGCCAGCTTCGGGAGGGAGCAACTTTGAGAATGTAAGACAACATTTACTCAGCAACGGTCGGCTGTTTGTCAACCGAGCCAAAGCAGCGCGTGAGCGGATTGCACAATGTGGTGCAGGATTCATTGCGGATGGTAACGTAGTGCTCACACACGGAGGAAGTAGAGTGGTAGGCCAGCTTCTCAGCAAGGCAGCTGAGGTTAATAAACTAGGTGGAAATGTACGATTTAAGGTCATCTACTTGATGAATGAGCCTCACACATCAGAATCCCGAGCTATGATCTCCAACCTGAGAGTCAAAGGTGTACCAGTAGCAACTATAAGCGAAGGTGCGGCAGGATACGCGATGGGAATGGTAAGCTTGGTGATGGTCGGTGCAGAGGGAGTTGTTGAGAACGGAGGCATCATCTCCCGATTAGGTACCTATCAGATTGCTTTACTCGCAAAGGCGGCCGGAAAACCATTCTATGTCGCAGCGGAGAGTCATAAATTTGTGAGATTATATCCACTGGGTCAATACGATCTTGGAATCGAACAAAATATCATCAAGTTCGAAACAGAGGATAATATACCGCCATGCACAAGTGAACCTTCAAATATAGATAATACGGTGGCGAGATCTCTAGTGGACTTCACAGTGGGTGTTTCTTCCGCAATAATGTTAAGAAATATATCTGATTTATCTAGCCCCCTGATCTTATCTCGGCTTTAATCGCAGAGACAGGTGTTCTAACACCTAGTGCTGTCAGTGAAGAGCTGATCAACGTTTGGTGTTGACAGCCTGTAAATCACAAGGAATCCATTCTCGTCTCCTACAACGCTTTCACGGCGGCAAATGCAAAACCCTAGTACATCACAGCAGCTTATTACAAAGCTGTTAGATATTAATATCCAAGGGAAAATAAAAAGGGGTTTGTATACAAGGAGGTCTCTTCTTTCTACATGGAACCATTTGCAGTCCCAAATTTCTAAAATTAACGACCTATGCAGGCCAGAAAGAAAGAATGACAAGGGATATCTAGTCCAAGTGATCGAATAACGCTCGATACCAGCTTACCTATTCGGACATCCAAAGATTTTAAATCACTTTTAACGATATTTTCTTTGATTGTAGAGAAGTCGAGCGGTCTAGTCCATCTAGAGTACCTTCCACTTATACTCTTAAAACAGATCAACCCTTTTTTCTGTGAACTTCGAAATAAGCACACTAGTAACGTTATACTTAAGCACGTTCCTAATAATGCTAGAGATCAATGTTCGAATCTTTATAAATATTTTCTCAAATACGCTACAATTACATCTCCAAGTTTGGGTTTCAGATAAGCAATAGCTCTTTGATCTAACGTCTATTATCTTGATCACTTGGTGTTTTTAGAACTATTGTACATATCTCTCACAACATCTTTTATTTTTACACCCCCCTCCGTCTGTTAGAAATCAAGGTCATGACCATATTAATCATCAATTTTTGTTGCTAAGTATGCTGTCAGTATCTCTGAGAATTTCGGAGTTTATGAAGACATAAAAATAATTCTTATCTCTGAAGTAATTTTATGTGAAACTGAGTTTATACCATAGGGGGTAAACTGTGCCCAATTATCTGCAGCGAGCTGCAGCTTTAATACTATGCTAAGCATTTATCGAAGCTATCTTCTCTCTTATCTACGGTGATTGTCACACATGGGATACATTCGATTTTTATATTAGCCACTTCACAGCGGGCTGCATGGTGCTTGACCTGACTGTTCATCTTCGTCGAAAATAAAGTGACAAATGCATCTATACATTACTGATTACCTTTTATAAACGAGATTAACCTACTCGCACGTATATCAATGCTGGTTGCTTAGTCTTCAGAGGATATGCATTGTCTGCATTAGCTGATTATGATGAAAACCTTTATAATAAAGTAGCTCAATCTTGTGCTTGGTGTTTTGCATGAATGTTTATTATCAGATTGAGACTTTTGTATCATTAAAAGTGTAATCGGCTATCTAACTATGACACATGATCAGAGCTATCTGTAAGTATTGGATGATTCTTTTGACGTCAGACTCATACACTAGATCTCATTTGAAATTACCTCTGAGATTTGTTTTCTTACACAAACAGTTGACTCTCTATGTCTACCCACCAAAGGTACGTTCCAAAACCTTTGATTATTCAAGCATACCTACGTCATCAATGCACATCAGTGCCACGAGAAATCAGGTTGTGTTTAGCCTGATTAGAACCGGCATTCAGGTGTCTCGGGTTGGATATGTGTCCAAGCTATCCAGAATCTACTTGGGGGACCGGCCCAGATGATGCATTACCGCACCAGCCATCCATGGAGGTCTTTACATTATCACTTACGCTCTCATAATCAAAGGTTTGGCACACATACTGCTCTTCAATTCGGAAAACTTTTCCCAAAATCCAAATTTCATCTGTTCCGATATCCCATCCATTCTTGGAATCATTTTGTCCGCTCGTCTTAATCTCTCTCAAGCCTATCTCAAAAACATGCCCCCCAGATTTGTGCATGATAATTTTTCTCCTACCATGGCTGTTCTTATTGTCCTGAGCGTGTATAGGATGCAAACTGAGACCGAGGGCTTGGTCGACGAGAGGAGTAGACAAAGAAATCAAAATGGGTTTTGTCACACTTGCAGAATTGATGAGGTTTAGGCGATAATCGATCTCTTTGGGAGTTAAAGACCGATATGGCAGGCCTCGATTCATTACCTCGGCGGCAGATTTCTACAGGATTGCGAAATTTGGCCGAACTTGACTCTGGGGGAATATCTCATTCACAGATTCGTAAATAATATCGCGGATAGATATTCAGTCTTCTCTAATACCCAAGTGATATTGATCTGCAATTGTGAGAGAACCAGAGTCTCATTTCTAGTCTCAACTTCCACATAAAAATTATGATATGTTGGGGAACTGACATGCAACACTTGTCTCCGGCATTCCCCGCGAATCTCTAGCTCTTATTCTAGAGCTCGTGGGGCCGAACTAATGGACATATTTTCAAATTTAAGTTACATTGTTTCCCACCCCATGCAAACATATGATTCCGATAAAATCAACAACAATCACAGTGAGGACGAAAGTGGGCAAGGCGCAGGGCGTTTGTTGTCTAGACATTTTCTTAATTCTTCTTTTCATGTAATCAATCGGCCTAGAAAGCTGGATAGATAGGTAGTAGTGAGTCTTAAAGGATCACACACCCATATCATGCCTCTTGGGTGTAGGGATTTTGCTTGATATGAAATTCACACATACATATATACACAGTAAGGACGTTAAGAAAGAGAGATATTGCGATTCTAGACGCTAAATAGTCCCTTATAGAAACCACTTCAACATCACGATGTGTACTAACCACTGAGAAGCAAACAAAGAGCCTACACAAGTAAAGCAATAGGCCCTTTTTTCATTGAATTTAGTGAGCTTATATAGCTTTATCATCATGTAGAAGGCCTTAGCGCCCTTAAAAAATCCAGATACCGACTCAATGATAAAATTGTCGCAGCTTTTGAGATTCGAATCCACTAGCCAGGAGCGCATCCAAAATACACGGCTTACTCGACAATGCCATATCCGTATCGTCTTTTGCACGCTAGGCTTAACTACTTGGCAGCAATTACTTGACCAGAATTTTTCTGATATCCGTTGACGAACTTCGGCTTGTCCTATGGTACGGGTCAGGGAAGATAGAAGCTCTTGGTTACATACAACCCTGCTTCACCTAGCTAGTAGGCTTCTTCGAACGCTTCAGAAGGGTAGCTAACCTTGGATTTCGCACTGGTGATCGTACTAGAGGAGCCTTACGTTCAGTAGTTTGAGACGGCCGGCAAAGACGAATTCTTCACCTTCCAGTGGTGCAAGTGTAAAGTCTTAGTATGATATGCATATCTGGGATAACAAGAAGAATCGCATCCGAATCAAAGTAGAGAGCAAACACACGCATATCTCCATTTGATGACTTCTCAATCATACAGCACTCACTATTATCTTCTGAGTCCTCAACCTCTTTCCAACCACATATCATCTTGTCTCAACAACCGATAAAGGCCTCACCCCAATTGCAAACAGGAACTTGCCTCATTTATTGCCGGCCATCACTCACTGCAAATATACGACGCTACGTATACCCGCAAGGAGGAAATTATGTCACAATATACAAAGTTGGGGTCTTGGTTTATAGAAGACCGATGCTCTAATGGGGTTTTTACATCTTGAGGAAGAACAGGCGGCTGAGATGTGGAGCGATAGTAGGAACAGGTCTTGAAGGTCAAGATGTGTCTGTCATTCTCGAGGGGTTTTCAACTTTGGAACGTTTGTGGGCGCCAAGACCGAGATTTTGGCTATTTAGCCAGAAGGACTTCAATTGTCGATGAGTCAACGGCACTCCCCAGCGACCTGGACGGCACAAAAGAAGTTGGGCTAAGCTACCAAACAGAAATCACGCTCTGTCAAGACTTTTCTGACATTTCAGCACGACCTTCGGGAAGGAGTTGGAAGGAGGCTAGAAAGGCAAAGGGTGAATTTCCCGAGGTACCCACAAGTCTGCAGCGCCCAGCTGGCCGGCCTCTTCGAACGCTTCAGAAGGATCACTATGTCTTCGGATTTAGTCCTAATGTCGGTATTAGGAGAGCTCCGCACCCAGTGGCTTTTGCGATTTTTCCCGGCTGCCATACACCCGCAAATGGCCATCGTCTCGTTGGCTGGAGAGGGGAGATAATGAAGGGCAAAGGGCTCCTCTAAGTGTATGATCGAGTGAGGACTTGTGAGGGGTGGTACTGTTTGAGGGGAGCTGTATGGGAGGCATAGGAGGGGATATACTACTGGTATAGGTATCCTTGGCCTGTAGGTAGAGAGAACCTGTAAGCCCTACATAGTTATAGACTCAGACAGGACAATAAAATGAATTAAAAAAAAAGTAGTTTGAGACGTTTCCCTGTAGCCATAAGCGCGCAGATGATCGTTATTTCTCTGGATCCAAAGGAGAGATAGTGATGGGATAATTATTTATCCTAGTGTGTAATAAAACGAAGACCTGTGAGAGCAAAACGCCTGAAATGAACCGATAAAAAGTTCTGAGGGAATAAATTACCCCAGAAATAAGTACTACTGTCCTCGAGATAGAAAGGACCTGCATATCCCATCACATCTATTTGCCCATTTCAGCTATAAACAAATAAATGAATTTTGATATATATTCAAAGAAGAGTCTATATGAAGCGTGTTTACCTAAAATAATTTTTCAAAAATCCGAACTCCATCTCCAAAGGAGCTGTAAATTTCACTATCCAAACGTCTAAGCCTTATTTCCGTCATTAAATAAATTGAAACTCCCCTGGATACATATTTATTCCCTGATACGATATATTTTTAAAAATCTCTCTACTATGCTTCCTACTATTAATTCAAGCAAAGAATGGTTTTGGAGTACTGCACTATCTCTTACGCATGTTTTCCAAATGAAATATCTTTCTGCGTCTATGAACTAGTGATTGGTTTGAGCTGTGTGGCTTTCATTTCGCAGGATAGTTGCTCAGGATTCGTGTACATGAACAAAGTAAGATCTACAAAACTTATCAAGACTTCCACCTATGAATCCATTAAATCCTTCGAGGCTAAATTCTTGGAGTTGATCCAGTTTATTTTTGCATTGGATACTGTTTGAATTTCATCATTTTGTGCAAAGTCCAAAGTTCTTACGATAATCAAAGTATTTTGGGAAGACTTTGGCATGAATATTTATGAGATACCGATCATACATTAGAGGGTGTTCGTTACCCCTGAGAGGGTGTTTTTGAGCAATTTGAAGGACTGTTGCGTTAATATCCAGGTCGATGGTTGATGTTCTGGGTGAAATAACTATCCAAATCTATAATCTTGTATAACGCTCTAGATGAAGAATACAGCTTAGCTGTGTGATACTGATAATATAGTCGGTTCAAGGTTAATCCCGTAGCGCTTTAATTTTTGTGGGAGGCCTATTTAGTACCTATAAACTGGTCTCTTGGGAGTTTGATTTGATGCATGGTCTTTCGTCTCATCAAGCAAGTTATCATTCATCATTGAATGATCGTCCTTTTGACCATACGAATTGTATCTTTTCTCTGGACTTATATGGTGGCCCGAAATATCACCTGGCTTTTCAATGTTGAACCCTGAGCCAGAGGGTAAAATTTCTTCGTAATGCTTCTTTTTTTCCTCATTCACATCTGCGAAAGGGTTCTCTGGTGTGCTTGAGCCTGACTTCAAAGAACCTTTAGATGTAGTCTCATGTCCTGTTGGTGTAAAGGGCCTGATCTCTTGATATTTTCTCGCATTTAAGATACCACGCTGGTAGAGGCTCAGCGATTTACTTAAGAGTTCATTGACCTCTATTAATGTTTCCATGGTTGCGTTGTCTGGTGCGGGATTTACGGCCGCAATAAATGCTTGGATACTACGACTCGCACTCTGGCAACCTGCTGCAAGCTCTCGGGCTAGCTCATCGGATAATATCTCAGCACTAGAAACTGTGCGTACTACTTGTGTTAAAAGTGTCGCAGAAGTGCGGGCTTCCTCTATTCGGGCAGATAGTTCTTGTACAGGAGGCAGGCCTGTATCGTGGTAATTTCGAGGGAAGCTGTCTTGTTTACTTGAATATCCTGGAATAAATGGAATATTTGATTCCTTAGACGGAACCTAGAGCAATCAGCTTATGAAGTATTTCTTGGATAACAACAATAATTACTTACCTGCCTTCTAATAAGTTTTCCTTGTTCTTTTTTCCACATTTCAAGTAATAATTCTAAGTTCTCGTCGTCAGTTTTCTCTCTTTCAAACTTATTAAGAGTTTCCGATAGAATATGCACAACATTCGGATCACTGGTTGTTCTTAAAAGTATCTTCAAGGTCTGCACAAACTTTGCATCGATGTTTCTGGTGAAAGTATGTCCAGGGTTGTCAACTAGGATACGAATGAGCATGATACTACTGAACTGAAAATGAGGTTTATTGCTATAATCTCTGGTGAGAAATTTTCGGATAAGATGAGCAGCTTCCTTAGCGGCCAAGGGCGAAGATTCGCAAGCATCAACAATGTTGGGTAGGTATAAAAACTCATCACCCTATGATAATCAACAGCTGTTTTTTGAAGCGTAACGAAATATTAAACATACCACTCCATCAGGACCACTTGACTCGCAGAAGAGTATCTGTAATAATTGAAATTAGATGATTTTCTAGTACGAAGGTAACTTTCGTGTTTGAAACCCACAATATTGTGAAGAGCTATTGCTTCGGGAGTATCTTCGCCCTGATCAACAGGATTAGAAGTAGAAGTTGCTGTTTTAGTAGCATAAGTATATTTTAGAATAATTGTACCAGAAGTAACTTTATCACTCACTCTTGCGCTTCAAGGAGTCCATCACTCGGTTCATGTTGATAGCTTTCATTGCCCTCATCTTGAAGAGAGACAGTTAAAATGATGAAGATCGCAAAGAAATTTAAATATGTATAGTGAGTAATCTGTATCAGGTATCTACTTTCTTTGATAAACAGATAGTAGTGGGGTGTGATGATTTGGTGTAGTTCCTTTAAAAGGACTAGAACTTTTCTTTAAGTTAAAGGCCTAAAATGCAGACATGTACTCTCGTTTCGATTTGTAGTCTTGTGGAGATGATATCGGTTGTTGCTAAGTCGGCAAGGCTGATAATGAGCAGGATACACTGCGTCATTTGTACTCATAATCCAGATAAATCTATCCCTACTCCATGAGTTTAGATTCCCCTGCTCTTTTATTTCACTCGCTTCATGCTACCTTTGCGGAGAATTTGATTCGCACTGTTCAAATCTATGTTGATCCACAATTTGTCCTGTGACTCACTCGGTCAATACTTCCTGCGATAAAAGCCAGCACTTGTGAAGCATAGCGCGTAAGAATGGGGTTTCAAGCCCCTGTCAGACCGTTGTATTTTGCATATTTTCAATCATAGCAATGTGAATTATCTTGTTAAGCCTCTTGTTAACATTGAAATCGGCACCCGTAGCAACAATGCTATACCTGTGGGGTTGACGGGGAAAATATTACAACAAGAAGCGCCCTTCTGATGCTATGTCATACAAAAATGGCGATAGACAATTCCCAATCGGGCTAGATTTTAGTGGGTTTTACCCTATGCTAGATGCGACGAACTGACTAGCTCTCAGCAAATCTAACCTTGAAGGAGCTTCCGGACCCACTTTTCAGCTCTATCGATTGGATCACGCTCCACCTAAAACTACTTCACTACAAGAGTCTATTAATGGTCAGTCAAGTTTCCATCTTTTCTTCAGAAATTTATCAATTCAACTTTGGAATCTGATGCCTTTGATCAGGTTCAATCGTGAACTTGGCCTGACCCCTTCATCAAATTGTTTAATATGAATTGAGCTATCAAACAAATGTAATAACTTGTGTTCTTTCCATTCAACATTTGACTCACGAGCTATTTGTACTCTTAATTTAATTCCAAATGCTACTGCAGCGTGCCTGTTCACACAAAACAAGTGACTCTCTCCCTTAGCATTAATCAGAAGGAAATTTGATCTCTATCTACAAATTGAGTTGCCTGCAACTTTCTTTACACTAACGCTGCGAGTAGTGTGATTTGGTCTCACAAGACTCTGACCAGCCCTCTCTTGTCTCAAGTGCGAGAGGTGCCCAAACCATCCTGAATCTAGTTCGGAAACCAGTTTAAACAGTACACCACTGCAATATCTGACCCTTCATCTCAGTCATTACTGTCAAAAATTAGATGGTTGTTATTGTTATTCTTATTCAATCCTAATCTAATTAATTACCGTGATCGAATTCCATTTCAAAATAAAAAGCGAAATTTTATGATCTTGAGCATCCAAGACACTCGCAATTGTTACCAGTTGTAACTGTCCAAATCCAGAGAATTTGGGCGTTTATAAATTAAAAAGCATTTGATTCTTTAAATTTAATCATCTAGAGATTTATAGAATGACAAAGAACATTTTAGCGTGTACATAAAAGTAACTCAATTTGTGGGTTGGTTTTTCCATTATGTATATCGTATTTACTTGCCTGTTGATTTGTGGATCATGCCTTGATTAATCTAATGGTAATTAGTTTACAAATTGAAGAACCCAACTACTTCCGTGCATACTGTCTAATTTATATGAACAACTCCCTCATTTTGAAGTCTTGAAGCTACTCTTCAGATAACCCCTGGTGTTTCAGGTGCGAGTTCGTTCGCATCATACTACATATATCACTGGTGTATTGGCCGGGAAAGACGAATTCTTCATCTTCCAGTGGTGCAAGTGTAAAGTCTTAGTATGATATGCATATCTGGGATAACAAGAAGAATCGCATCCGAATCAAAGTAGAGAGCAAACACACGCATATCTCCATTTGATGACTTCTCAATCATACAGCACTCACTATTATCTTCTGAGTCCTCAACCTCTTTCCAACCACATATCATCTTGTCTCAACAACCGATAAAGGCCTCACCCCAATTGCAAACAGGAACTTGCCTCATTTATTGCCGGCCATCACTCACTGCAAATATACGACGCTACGTATACCCGCAAGGAGGAAATTATGTCACAATATACAAAGTTGGGGTCTTGGTTTATAGAAGACCGATGCTCTAATGGGGTTTTTACATCTTGAGGAAGAACAGGCGGCTGAGATGTGGAGCGATAGTAGGAACAGGTCTTGAAGGTCAAGATGTGTCTGTCATTCTCGAGGGGTTTTCAACTTTGGAACGTTTGTGGGCGCCAAGACCGAGATTTTGGCTATTTAGCCAGAAGGACTTCAATTGTCGATGAGTCAACGGCACTCCCCAGCGACCTGGACGGCACAAAAGAAGTTGGGCTAAGCTACCAAACAGAAATCACGCTCTGTCAAGACTTTTCTGACATTTCAGCACGACCTTCGGGAAGGAGTTGGAAGGAGGCTAGAAAGGCAAAGGGTGAATTTCCCGAGGTACCCACAAGTCTGCAGCGCCCAGCTGGCCGGCCTCTTCGAACGCTTCAGAAGGATCACTATGTCTTCGGATTTGGTCCTAATATCGGTATTAGGAGAGCTCCGCACCTAGTGGTTTTTGCGATTTTTCCCGGCTGCCATACACCCGCAAATGGCCATCGTCTCGTTGGCTGGAGAGGGGAGATAATGAAGGGCAAAGGGCTCCTCTAAGTGTATGATGGAGTGAGGACTTGTGAGGGGTGGTACTGTTTGAGGGGAGCTGTATGGGAGGCATAGGAGGGGATATACTACTGGTATAGGTATCCTTGGCCTGTAGGCAGAGAGAACCTGTAAGCCCTACATAGTCATAGACTCAGACAGGACAATAAATTAAATTAAAAAAACTAGTGTATTGGTCAAACGAGCATTTATGCATTCTTCACGGTTGCTGACAACAGATGTCAGCAACTTATTCTAACGTTACCTCAGAATGCTCCTTTCCTTTGGGTGCCATTCTAAATACCTGTCAATAGTATCCTCTACGAACCTCCAGCTCTCACTGTAGAGTCTGCAGAGTGTTACGGGGCGAGAGAGTATACAAGATAGAAGTCACGGGACAAGATATAAACAAGATACGTATTAGAATTAATTCCTCTGGACGAGTAAAACAGTAGTACTGTTACAGGAATATTTGGAAGTAGATTTGATAAAGTGTAGGGTTAAATCGTTGCGAGTGTATTCGTCTCTACGCCTACGCGCTTAATAGAAGTATCGCAACCTCGCACCCTCTAATCTATCGCTCCTAGTCTCATCCACACGCTAATATGAAACTACTAATACAGGGTATATAAAATCAACAGACGCCTTACCCTTTTTAACTCCTAGGCAACCAATAACCACAACCCTAACTCCATTATGTTAAATTGTAGGTATGATTATGTTTGACCAACCCTTCTTATAATTTAACAATACGTAAGATAGAAGGTAGACAAGATAGGATGCAGACAAGATGTGGAAATGTAACAAGTCGTCGCATGCCCTCTACCGACGTGAACGAGGACTACTTAAGGGTCTCGTCGGACTAGCTCGACGCTAGTGTCAATAATAACACCAGTCCTCTCTATTCCTGTATAATTGTGTTACTATGACAACTATAACCCCACCGCTGATTAGACATGCTTTTACCCTTTTATGGAGAGTCATGATATGAACCATGACACAGAGCCAAGATTGCGTAAAACCTTTTCAACTTTGAGCGGAGTTATCTCTCCCTCCGTCAAAGACACGCTTCCGATAAGGAAGGCAAGACTGAACACCTGTACGCGGTGTCCTCTACGAAACTGGGAGTAAAATATTCTCCAAGAGCCAAGTTCAGTCAAAATTCGCAATATCAAAGAAGTTCGCCCACGAGGTGATGATTCAAATTACTCCTCCACGTCGTTTTTTCGCTCCCAACAAGTTTGACTAATACCTAAGCCTGATCAAGTCTTCAAGTACGACCTATTATATCCTTATTTCGATGACCTCACCTCACATCAATTATTCTCTGGCCTCAGCTGGTTACAAAATGCACGCCAACGCCCATAATAACACCCGACGGAGGAAGCAGAGCGTGGCGCACAAGACCTGAAGACTTTTCTTTGGAATTGGCGTGAGAGGATTCAGGATAAGTTCACAAGATGATGCGAAGGATGGATGCAGTCTAGACGGGCGTGGAATCTTGAATTTTGGCAAGAGTTTTACGAATTGAGCTTTGTGCGCGCCAAGACTTCGCTTGCGAGAGTGCAGCTGACACTATAAAAACAAGCCAACGATGGAAGGTGTTGTGATCCGCTTCCTGGTGGTGTTCTCTGGTATAGTTTGAGTAGCCTGGGCACCTACTTCACTTGGGAAGGAGACACCTCAGATCACATATCGCGCGGAGAAAAGTTGGAAGATGATGGAGGCATGTCTGGATAACTCAGGGTTTTTGAGATGTTCCCATGGGTGGGTATTCACGGATGAGGGTTGACTTGGGGTGAAGAAAAAGCCACCACAACCTCGCGGTGGGACTTGCAATTGAAATCAGAGGCATGATTGCTCTTCCTTTACGTTGAATCATCTATTCTATACTTATCTTTGGTATCGTGTCATAGCTAGATAGCTGCATACGCAATTATAATCTGATGCAAAAAAAAAGATGCAGCCCGGCTCGCACTAACGTAGCACTGCTAGGCTCATCTACTCGCGAATATGGGACCAATAATACAGGGTATATAAGATCTCTAAACGCCCAACCACTTCTACTTATAAGTAAACAATAATCACAACCAATACTCCGATATATCGAGGTGCAGGGATGATTATCTTTGACTAACGCTCTTGTAATTCAAAATTTCTTTATGATTTTTCTTTCAATCACTTGGAAATAGTCGGTTTCGGCAAGACGCCTACATTGATATAAAATTCAATCGACCATAGCCTAAAGAAATTCTGCCTTCCATTTGCAGTGCTGACTCTGGAAGACGCCAAAACGATGATTCTAAAAACAATACTAACTGGAACATTAAGAACTCAAGTGCGCAGGCACGACGTCAATTTAAATCGGGCCATCAGTCTGCCTAGTGCCCACAATATGTGATAAGAACTGAAGGCGAAGTCCCAAACTGTATCCTCGGGTAAATTACTTCCAGTCACAATTTCTCATTATCATTCGCCTCCATAGCATTTATGGCCCGAATTCTTACCCTTATATCGCTGTTTATAAATTCTTTACAAGAATATCGTTGCTAGTCGCCAAAATCAAATATACGCTCTTTTCCACAAATGAACTACCAGATCATTAACGTCTAGAATTTATCTGATCTAGTTATTGTTTCTTTCGGTGGCTAGGAGATTTGGAAGTGGACCGCGAGTTGTCTTATATTTGGTATATTGTTTGGAGTATTCAAGGGCGGTATTGGTGCTCAGAAGGTTCTGAGGCTGACTTAGCTTGCTGTTGGAAGTTATGTTTCGTGATCCGTTTGTTCCTTGTCGAATCTCTGAAGAGCGGGATACCGACCAGAACTAGACATCTAAACCCCTCCTAACTGTCAATTTTAGAAACTTCTTAAATCCACCCATGCGGAAGGATAGCTTCATTGACCTGGAAAAATTTTGTACTAATATTTTGTGGGGCATCGTAGTGAGTTATTGAGTGGCTGTTTCGGCCGAGACATTTTTGTTGGAAGTTTAAATTTTCAATATTCCTGTTAAGAAACTTATGTGTACCATGAATACCTTATAACTTCAGTAGTTGGCGGATAGTACGACTGACGATGGTGACAAGGCTATTTGAAGCTATGGACCAGATTCGTCTCCTCAACCAATCATAAGGTTTGTAGCCAGCAAGTCCGAAGTATTTACTGATCTTCAACTGCTATTTTTGAAAATGATAAATTTCAAGACCAAACTGAGTAAATAAAACATGTTTTAACACGTTGAACTAACCTCGGTTCGCTATACCCAGCTAGCCCAGTGAGCTCAAGGCTTAGTCGCATTGGTGGCTTAGTAGTTTTAAGATGTGTTTGTTTCTTTCAGATCCTTGACCGCTACCCCGTAAGCAGTACTACGATAACAAACTCAGATGACCGCAGTTTATTCATGCCTCCGCATGAAGTTTATGCTTGTGGGGGTTGATTTGTCTCAAAGTTTTTGTACTAACAGCGGTAGTGATTGCGAGTGATATCCAATGTATCAGTGACTTTAATAGGAAGATAGAAATTTCCAGCTCCATCTTTGGCTGGTCATAGATACAAGCGTTGCTGATCGTATTTAAATAATAAGGCTCATTTCCATTTCATATCAACAACTAACATGTAAGGCATTTGGTGGCCATTAATTCGTTATGACGATCAACCTATAATTGATCAACAGACGCCCTGTGTGGGGTTGAAGTACATGTCACATAAAATTGAGAATGAGGGTCCATAAAGCTTCTTAAATTATCGTGCGATTTATATCTCCAGAAAATAAAGCGAAACTGTTGTTCCTGATTAGTCCAAAACGGAACAAGCTTCGTGCATACAGTTTGAGCAGAACCCGGCTACTCCTGGTGACATAGCCCAGTAAGCCCCATCTGCATGGGCGCCGAATGGATGCACTGACCAGTTGATCTTGATATAGTTAGAATAAATTACTTTCAAAATAACTACTTAGTGCCCCCCCACAAGTACTTTAAGATCGGCAATAACGAAAACTATGCTTTCACGGGTGCGAATCCGCATCAGTTCCCACCTCAAACGGCTAAGCATGCCACAAACGATTTAAAATCCCTCGTACACTCAACATCATAGCATTCAAGACATTATAATATAATATGTTGAATGTCTCTACTGCCTAAAAGAGCTAGCAAATATCGATAGTTTGTCCGATATGATGGGGACAACCCTCAGCGGGCAAGAGATAAACATCTAACATGTCTCTGAACGACAAGGTTGTCCATACAGCTTTCTGGGTGAGTAAGAGAAAAAGACGTTCTCAGTTATGCCTACCCTTAACCCAATCACTTCAAATTGAGAGACTGTTTCACAGCAAGATTGGCACACTCGAGTGCAAATTCAAGAATCTTGGCCAACCATACAATTAGCACTTCGGGCTAAACTATGCACTAAGCCACCCACTTATTCCTTCCTTATACTGGAATTTTTACTCGCGTATGCGGAATTTTACGAAATAATGTAATGCTAAATCTAGTGATTGAAGCAGATGATAAACGCTGATTTCAGTGCTTCGCTCGTCGCTTCCTGTGTGTGAGCTCCTCGTTCTAGGGCAATAATGGCTCAAAAGCAACCGTTTGAAGAAGTAGAAGTGGATGTTGTCTGTTTCTTTAAACTCCGTGTGTTCCTCATGTCTCTCCCAAGTTTGGGGGGGGGGGTTCATCACAGTTGTCTGTTGGAGTGTTCATGCATACGTAGAATTATTGCGTGGTCTATTTTAGCAACCTTGGCTTGATATCGTAGCACAGTAGGATCAACTATAGACATGCAATATATTTTCAAGGCAGCAGTCGATTGTGGGATGGGAAGTTAAGTATCCCGTTGTGGAACATCGCCTATTTATTCATTGTCGATCACTACGTAGCCAAGCTGCGAGAAGCAAATAACTAGTAGCTTATACATAGAGACTTGTAACTTTTCAAAAATGACCGCATCTCCATCAGAAGTTAAGTTGCTCTTGTCAAGGATGACAGGAGCTTGTTAGATTGTTGAAAACTACTCGCTCCGGAGAGGCCTTTTCCGCGCCAACCACTAGTGCACAGCGACGTATTTGTAAATGCTAGCGCTTTTAATCAGACACGTGACCATATGACAGGGATGGAAACGTTCTTGACGAGCCCCGCGATGCCTGAAGTCGGATATGACGATTTCTCTACTTCACATTTATTCCTTTCCGTTGCATAGAAATTGATGCTTTTACAGTTGCACGTCCAGTCTTTGTAATGGAAACTCAGATTCTCGCCGCTTCAAGCAAATATCCTAAGCCTGCTAGTCATAGCTTTGAGTATGGCACGGCGGGGTTTCGAATGCATGCTTCCCTTCTTGATAGTGTAACTTTTAGAATTGGCCTTATTGCGGCACTACGTTCTCGGAAATTTGGTGGTCAGGCTATCGGTGTCATGATAACTGCCTCTCATAACCCAGCAGAAGATAATGGAATCAAGATTGTGGATCCCATGGGTGAGATGTTGGAGAACAGTTGGGAAGAATACGCCACAGAGCTTGCCAACGCAAACGATAATGCAGTAGCAGAGATTTATCAAACTTTACAAACAAAATTAAAAATCAACGAAAGCTCACCCGCAAAAGTCATTTACGCGCGTGATACTCGTGTATCAGGCTCAAGATTGGTCAAAGCGTTGATCGATGGCCTAACAGCTGCTGGAGCAACTTACACTGATTTCAAACTATTGACCACTCCACAACTTCATTACCTTACGAGATGCATCAACACTCAAGGCACACCACAGTATTACGGAGAACCAAGCGAGAAGGGATATTATGAGAAGCTGGCAGATGCATTTGACCGAGCGGTAAGGGTAAGAAAAATTAAGGGTTCCATAACAGTGGACTGTGCCAATGGCATCAGTGGACCAAAAATTGGAGAATTAATTAAGCACCTCCAAAACACAAAGACAAATCTCGAAATAAAGATTACGAATGACAATGTTATTCAACCAGAAACCTTAAACCACGAGGTAAACCGAGCCCCGTTACCCAATTTTGTTTGGATTTTAACATTAATAGTGCGGTGCGGATTTTGTTAAAACTAGACAGCGTGCACCGCCATATCCTAGAATAGTGAGTAATCAACGCTGCTGCTCGTTTGACGGCGACGGTGACCGAATTATCTATTATTATCTTGACCCCGAGACTGGATTTCGGCTCCTAGATGGCGATAAGATTTCAACATTTTGTGCTTCGTTCTTCTGTGACCTTACTAAAGAAGCGCGAGTCTTCGAAGAGCTACGGATTGGTGTTGTACAAACTGCATATGCAAATGGTGCCTCAACAAAATACATCGAAAAAGCTCTTAAGCTCCCTGTCAAATGTACATCTACCGGAGTGAAATGGCTTCATCACGCTGCGACAAAATTTGACATTGGCGTATATTTTGAAGCGAACGGGCATGGAACTGTCGTCTTCTCCCAACAAGCTCTCCGAGTTATCAATACCAAAAGTCCTGAATCTCCAGCTCAGGCTACAGCTCTCGAAACCTTGAAGGCTTTGGCAGATCTAATCAACCAAACCGTTGGTGATGCCATATCTGACATGCTTTTGGTGGAGGTGATACTTGCATATCGGTCATGGACCCTAAAAGAATGGGATCTAACTTATAATGATCTTCCAAACAGACTAGTTCGGGTCGAAGTTTCGGATCGAAACAAATTTAAAACAACTGATGCCGAGCGAAAGTTGTCAGAACCAGAGGGTTTACAAGCAGAAATAGATACATACGTTAAGAAATACACGGAGGGTAGGGCTTTTGCAAGGGCTTCTGGCACCGAAAATGTTGTTCGAGTCTATGCTGAGGCAGCAACGCGAATTGAGGCCGATGATTTGGCTAGTAAGGTCGCCATGCTCTGCCGCATGTATGCCCCAGCAAAGTCATCAAGTAACGAAGCGCACAAGGATATGAAATATGGTTATGCGGAGAGGACTTAAGTTTTGGCAGTTATCTTTATGTTATTTCATGTGGCGATGAACCATGTGATGAGAACTACGTTGTTATCTGTTCCTTTTCATCCAGTTCTACAATTAATTCAAGGAATTCTAAGCTGAGCGCGAGCGGATCGTGTTACAACATGTGCTGGTTATCTACAACCAAATAATCTATGTTCTCTCTCATTATAAGGATCAAAAATGTTTACCGAATTGGCTAGAAAGTTTCCGTAATAACACCAAGCCCCTTTATACCTCTATCATAACTATCGTTGCTGACATTTTAGCGCATTTTGCGCCGGCTTCTCTATGGATTAGGCGCAAGGTTGTGGCTGCCTCAGGGAAATAAGTTAATTTAATTATTTCTTAGCTGCATTCATACAGTCCCACTTATACTTAAGCCGCGAATTTCTTCAAGGATTTGCTCTACACGGCTATCAAGCTGTCCTGACGCGTATTGATCTCTTATTTCAGGTTCGAGATATTGCTGAACTTGTGCCATTCTAGAATAAGCCTCAGCACAGAATCGTAGTTGGATTTTAACTAATGCTTCGAAACTCGGGTCTAGATATGGGACGCGAAGGTCAATTAGTTGAGGCAGTTCGGTGAATAATTGTTCGTTTAATTGTTCATAAGAAGCCTTAGCCATCTCTGCATCTTTTTCGGCGCGTGGTAGCTTCGTTACGTCTTTATCCGGCTTTTCTACAAGTTTTTTAACTCTGGCGCGCATTGCATCATAGTCGAGTAGCTTGTGATTACGTTTCTTGATACCTGCCTTTGTTAGGAGTTCCTTGAAAATTGGGTGAGCATACATTCGTTAATATCGGGGAAGTATGCACAAAACCGAGAGATAGGTTCTAGAACGGTAGTCCTTATCTTAATTAGCTGAGTTATTTGATGGCAGAAATTGCGTTCACCGATATGGTCCATCTAAAGCTTTAATGGTCTCTGCGTCTAGATCTTCAACGGCTTGTTTGTAACTGCGACTAACTCCATCTCTAGCGCCTGCGTCGCCATAAAATGCGTCAATTGTTTCTGCAATGCGCATTTGGGAAGCTGTCATTGCTGCCAATATGAGCTTTAGTAGGATCAATCATTAAAATTGGTTTACCTCGTAAAGAGTCCAAATAGCCCTTTGATTCTTTTTGTAGTCGTAATGCAGCTGTCTCCATAGTACGATAGCGTCTATTAGCGGGTCAGTTATTTTTTATAAATAAATTTATATTTTTTCGCTCATGATTATCCCGAAGGACTTGAAGTAGCTAGGAGATTGCAGTCATTCTTAATGAATTTCTCATATACGATGTATGATTGTGATGCCTTGTTGCACATAAATGCTGATTCTCAGCCATGATATTGCGCACATCAATGAATATTTGAGAAAATTTCTCGTTGAAAGCATTCGTATTTTCCAGGTATATAGGGCCAAATCCAAATTCGTCAGAATTTGTAGGCTGATGTCTCCCAATAACGTGGATAAGATAGATTTCATTGTTTCTTGAAGGTGGATTATTGATTGTAGCTCTTCAATCTCATGGCAAAATTGGAAGCAGAGTCTTACCGTTCTTCAACCTCATAATCTCTATCGCTTGTCTTCTCGACATGCCCAGTCTTCATCATAACCTGTGTCGTAGCACGGTTGACATTTTTTTTGAAACCTAGGTTGGGTTAGCACGAGATCTTTGAGAAGAACTTGTGGCTTTCCTGCCCAAGACATTGTGATGATGTTGACTTCAAGAAAACAGATACTCAAATGAATAAGCTTGCAATCTCATGTACAGCAGCGATTGCAGTGGGGGCCTATTATTATGCAGGGACGCATTGGAGCCTTGGTTTACGCAGAGCGGTACAACTATCTTCCGGCTTGAAGTCTAACAAGCGTGATAGGATACATTCCACCGTAGCATCATGAGCATCGGCGGGTATTTAATTGACACTCATAGACTGGGGATCGAGAGTTTTGGTCTTAATCGTGATACTTGTTTCAACGACTCTAGTACATTAGGCTCTTCTTTGACCAAGACCACACTTTTCACAGTGCTCCTATCCTCTCTTTTTACGGCAAAGGATCTCTGATACAATGCCCGTGATAGGTAGCTATTCAGGTCGGTATCCACCAGCAAAACTTAGCCACCTTTTCCGCGGCGCCTTATCCCAAAAAAATAAAAATAGTAGCAATGGAAACTACGTGCGTGGGGAAAAGTCTCAAAAACCTGCAGCCCCAATCAGGCGAGGCCTAGACATCGAGACCACGTGATGTCCGCATATTCATCTACATCTCCCTTAGTTGGAACTTTAGAGGTCAATTTGACCTAAATCACCATCGCCATATCGGGTGCTGGTTATGCACCGGAAACTGATCTTATTATTTCTCTTCCATAACCAAGAAAAGTGAGTTCATGGTGAGTCGGGCCTCGAACCTAACATCTAATCTGATCATGGTCACCTTTATGACAATGGTGCTGGGATAATATGCTGAGAGATGAGGGCTATGCAGAGAGTGAGAGCGATTGGGTATCCTTGCCGATGTGAGGACATCGAATGTGATTCTTCTTGGATATCTCAGGTATACAGAACGTACTGAGGTTTACACCGATAATTCTGGAAGATAAAAAACTCGCCCTTAATCACTGAAATTGAACTTTATTAACTGGCCTACAACCATGTCGAGGCTGAAGTAAAAGAAGATTCAACAAAGTGCTAGATTATTTCAAGTTGGCTGAACACGTACCAGCTGGCATATAGAAATTTAATTTCGCAAGGCCCATCCACCTCAGATTCACGGAAATAGACACCAACAGTTACTCTGATGTCATTCTAATCCGCTTGCTTATTCGGATCCCGTGTGACCCACAGTCTAGTATGAGATTCGGGTCGGAACCCAGTCAAAACTTGGTTCTAATTGTAATTTAATACTCCAGTGTCCATATATGAAAGAGAGGTCTCTGATGGATGGATTATGTTTCGCGTACGTGACAAGTAGATGTGTAGACAACTAGAAGTACATAAATTTGATGTAATCACCCAATCCAGTCGACAAAGCCAACATCTGACTAATAGTGCGCGTGCGCGTCTAGCTTACATGAGCCAACGGAACAACAATCTTCCATGTTCCTCTGCCTGCTGGATGTGATGGATAGCGATAGTCTCACGTATCGGGAAGAGAGGTATGTTTTTGTTCTACTTGAGTCATAGACTATCTAGCACAATGGGCTCCTCTCTAACACAGACCACACCTTGTACGGTGCTCCTATTCCCTCATGTTTCTTGAAAGATCATTGATATATTGCCCTTGATGAGTAGCTATTCAGCTCAGTGTTAACCCGTAAAATTTGGTCACCTTATCCATGGAACCTTCTACCAAAAAAAACATGAGTAGTAGCAATGGAAACTGCGCGCCCAGAGAAAAGTCTCAAAAACCCTGCAGCCCCAGCCAGGCGAGGCCTAGACATCGGGACCACATGAGGTGCTCATATTCATCTACATCTCCCTTCTTTGTAACAGTCGAGGCCGACTTGATCCAATCCGCCATCTCCGTATCGGGTGCTGGGTACGCTCCGGAAACTCATCGGACGGCTTTTCCTCCACGATCAATGGTCGGTGATGAATAGGGCTCCGACCCTGCCATCTGATCTGATCGTGATTAGCTTCATGATAATGGCCATAGGGGAATGTGTTGAGAGATGAAGACGATACAGACCGCGAAAGCGATTGAGAATCTTTGTTGAAGTGAGGACTTTGTTACTCAATCTCGGCTCTGCAGACTCTACAATGAGAGCTGGAGGTTCGTAGGGAACACTACTGACAGGTGTTGAGAAAAGTCCTCCGTTATCAAGAAGAGTTTGTATAGAAATAGTGTCACATCTACTCAAATCCAAGAATAGAAAAGATTATATCTTGGCTATTTTTGGAATCCACGAGGTCCATGGCCATTCAGAAGGGGCTAACTACAACTTAGCACTTTAAAATAAGGAACCTCTTCATAATCTATTAATGGAGTTGGAGGGAGTAATCTCTTACCTATGTAATCCCAATGCGCGAGATGGTCTATGACTCAATTAGTTAAATATATCATACCACTATTACTCAAGTGGTGAATTTATATACAGCTATAGTTAGATAGGATAAATACACAAAACTAGGGGAAAAATTAGTCACGTTACAGTTCAGATACAAAAGAGGCCAAATGGTATTGCCTTCTAATCTGTAACCGCGTCACCAAATCTATATGGAGAGTATGCATGGACTTTGGTTGAAATGTTTACATCCCACTCATGTTGACTAAATATATATCTCTAATTCTAAAAGCTAGACCTGCAGATAAGATGTACCTGGTATTGTAACTTGCGTCTCAGATGCTCCATTAAAAAGTGAACTAATACGGAAACTTTAGCATAACCACAGGCTGTTCAAGTTGCCTATGCGAATCTCCATAGCAACAAAAATTACTCCCCAGGGTAGAATCCTCATACTGAATCAAGAGCACCATACCATATCCGGAAAAGTTGCCGGGTAGAGAGTAACGTAGCTACTGAACAAGGCAGAATCGTTTGGGGTCTCCCCGGAATTGAAAATCGATAATCTGCAAATATACATACATTTTACATCGCGACAAGCACCATGGTATTATGGAGCATTCTCTGTGGATAACATATTTGTTGTTTCTTTGAACTAATCAGTCGGAGAGATGCAATTAATTGCCTTAGACCCTGCAGTGCAATTTACTCCTCTACGCGCACCAAGTCGATGGGCAGAACGTGGGGATTTCTAGGTGGCTGCCAATTTTATCGACTGATAAACTTCATCATTTTACTTTCAAACATTGGCCTTATCAATCTCTGATAGTGATAAATCCACAAGGAGTGGTTTTCACAGGGTTCGAAAACAAAAGAGAATCATGACCATGAATAAATCGAGCTTTACGAGTGCAAAACACTGGATCCAGGAGATTTCTTTGGAAAGCCTACCATCAGAAATACTGCTCCAAATTCTTTCATACCTCGACATACCCGATCTTCTTTCGCTATCAAGGACAATGCACTTACTTCGAAGCCTCACACACGACCCTCTTCTCCACTCGCACCGCCTACAACGCGCTTCCCTCAACCTGTCTCGAGCTATTCCGACTCGTCCTCCCCTCACCGAACTTATGGCACGTCGTGTCTACATCACTCGAAATACTCGAGCAGCGCTAAGTTTAGGACGAAAATTTATAATGATTAAGCTCAACCGCCAACTCGGCCGTCGTCCTAATATAGAGCGTCTGGTCGAACTAGGTGTTATGCCAGAGGAATTTCTCGAAGCTTGGACCAGTGGAGACAATAAGATACAGGGAAGAATTTTGATGAAAAAGATACGGGAAAAAGAACGTGTGAAGTGTTTCCTACGGGAATGGATTGCCGAGCTTGGTCGCAAGGTCTTGAATGATGAAAATGGAGATAAAAATATGAAATCATCGACAAATGATAGTGCAGGCTGATACAAAATTTCCATCAGAGCGGCAAAAAGGCAGATTACACACTAGCTTGAACCCCGCAGACTATGATAGCCTTTATCAAGAATTGATATTACTGGTATTTGTTCACATCATGCAAATTCTGACGCATGAAACGAATGTTGGATACGAGATTTCTAACTAGCATTGTTATTCTCGCGTAGTCTAAGATAGCCTTAACTTCATAGGTTTGAAACAAAATAACCAGTGGGTTTAATGAGGCTTCTGTTGTACCTGGCCATCTAAATTGGTGAGAGGAAGGTTTAGTTAGCGCTAACACATAACCTTCTTCCTAAATTCTTCACGTTCAATGTAACGGAAAAAACCCTGGATTTAATTGGAGTTGACTTTACTGAGCCTAAAAAAATCAAGGGGCAAAGCTAACCTATGACTTTTAACTTTGAACCTCACCGCAAATAATTGCTCTTGTAATTATTCAACTATTGGCCTAATATCACTACCTTCATTAAATCCAGCGTGTAATTGTAAGCCTCCTCCATGGTAGATGTTTCATCGGAACACTAGCCTACCAATCATGCAGAAATTACACTTCACTTCTTTCTGGCATCGTATGAGATGCATAAAATACTTACCAAGTTTAATGTCAAGATAAACTGGCAGTGTGATGTATATTGTGAATAGATTCCCATGGCGGTTCAGCTTGATTAGCCTTTCATTTTATAGAGGTATCGTGGATCTTACTGGGGCCGCAACTTCGTAGACCCTGGCATCAATATTAATTTGGGATGAGTCAGCTGTGGGGGGATGAGGGCTACGATCGTTGGACGCAAACAATGCCATAACGTTTATTCTTGTTCCATATCTCATACAATCCCTGACACAGATCCAAGTAGGCGTGTGGACACTTCATCATGTAAAAGGCCCCAACAAGTAAAACTCTTCATTCTGTCATTAGTGAGCTCCCCGGCTCCGTGCCATAATTGATATTTTACCGTGACCAGGTACTATCCCAGTACCTAGAAGCCATGACACGGGCAGTCTAGATCCAAGTAAGACTCATTTCTACTTGCTTGACTAGCTCGACGCAAATCAGGAAGGCAAAACTAAACACAAGAAAAATACCCTTTTTAAGGTGCAAATGCCCTGGATGACATCTCAATCCTGGTGGACAACACCCAAAACCTGCTGGTGGTATCTCCAACGAACCGCCAGCTCTCGCTGTAGGGTCTGCAAACCCGGGACTCAATAACATCTTCGTCCTCACGTTGATGACAATTCCCAATCGCTATCGCCAGCTGTATCAACTTCATCTCTCAACGCATCCTCCTATCACTATCATAATCGACATATGTCAGCCGATGAGTTTTCGGAGCGTACCCAGCACCCGATACTGAGATGGCGGATTGGATCAAGTCGGCCTCGACTGTTACAAAGAAGGGAGATGTAGATGAATATGAGCACCTCATGTGGTCCCGATGTCTAGGCCTCGCCTGGCTGGGGCTGCAGGGTTTTTGAGACTTATTTCTGCGCGCGCAGTTTCCATTGCTACTATTTATATTTTTTTAGGTAGAAGGTTCCATGAATAAGATGACCAAATTTCACGGGTTAACACTGAGCTGAATAGCTACTCATCAAGGGCAATATATCAATGATCTTTCAAGAAACATGAGGGAATAGGAGCACCGTACAAGGTGTGGTCTGTGTTAGAGAGGAGCCCAATGTGCTAGATAGTCTATGACAAAAGTAGTACTATAAACACACCTCTCTCTCTCCCTGATGCAAAAAAATACCGTTTCGCAAGGAGCTCACGTGCTGTGCGCGGGCACGACGTGAAATAAATAAATGATTTGATTCTGACAAGGGCCCAAAGCAGTCTAGCGGTGCAAATACGAAGTGAGCACATGGGGCTCAATTCTTATTTATATAGAAGTAAATTACTGGGAGTCTACAGTCCAAGCTGTCCATATGGCTACCAATCGCAAAAACCGAAGCACATGATTATGTCCTGCCCTCGATGATCAAATGCAAGAAGGGAGATCTAGAGACAAGCCAACGATCGGTCCTACGAAGCGATGATATACAATCCAGGAGATATCAAAAAGATAACACAGTGGATCCTAAATCATGGTTAGATAGAGCAATTCCAGTTGAAAAAGGCGTTCGAAATGCTGCTGAGGGAAAGGAAAAAGTCAAATAATGCTTGGGGCGGTTGGAGATGATGTGGTTGGTTTACAAGGATATCAATATGGTGTAACTGCACTCCCTGAAGAAAATATGCGAAAACTAAACACAAAAAGTAGAAAGGTGTGGGAGGTTTTCACCATAAAGGTTTCCTCCTGTGTAAATATTACAGATTGTAGATACCTGCATGGGCCCATTGGGCGCCAAATCAGGATGATGAAATCAAATTCAAAATGATATGATTTAATTTCTTTTTGTCTGTTCAGGTATAATAAGCTATAATATTTACAGAGGAGGAAACCAGATTCGGTAAAAACCCCCAAAACTGTCTGTCTCATGCTAATTGGTTTGTCTGAGGTTTCATTCAGAAAGTGCGTTTACTGTTCACATAGCGCGAATTCCGTCCTATCCTAGATCACATCGTCTAATCTTTCCGTCCAAAATAATTTCTACATCACCTGCAAGCCGGAATGGTCAAACCAGCCTTTTGCTTGGATCCATTTTGTGATTCTCTCCATGTCATCTGTGCTGTTCATCATTGCCGTATAGGACCTATCTTTTGCCTCTAGAGGCACCTCCTCTCCTCTTTCCATTGCCCACTGAGGACACGTCAAGACCACAAGTTTGACATTTTGAGACGGATATCTACACTGAAGCTTCAGATTAATCAATCCCGGACTTTCCTTCAATACACAGAAGAGTTGAGACCAATGTGCTCACTTTCAATATGAACTGCAATACTGCTTTGGGCCCTGCTCAGGTGAAATACTGTAAATTGTTATAAGTCGGAAAAGTTGGGGCTATCAAGTAGGTCACGTTGTTGATACACATGTAACTACAAATTCTGTACTTGGTTTCACTTTGGTAGTCACTTGAATCAATGCGCTCGACAACCTCAGTGACTGAGGGGCCATTATTTCCTTAATATAAATAAATCCTGGCTTGTGTGCATCCCAAAATAGTGTTGCGAGACAAAGGTTAATTATTTACGCATAGTCTTATAATATGAATATTATGGCAAGTAGATGGGGATCAACTTCATTTACTTATTTTAGTCGAATTGCCGAACTTGAAACATGTAACGTTGGTTTTTTATTGTCTGGTCTCAGTCCATGACTATGTAGATCAATCATTGTTAATAGTATGTCAAGATTTAGTTTCATCTGGTCAATTGACCTAAATCTCAGGTGTATGACCCGTGGATCAAGGTGTTTGTATACGAGGTGATGTCTTCATGGCAATCTTCTATCATTATCCATACGACCCAGTTTTTCTTCAGAACAGTTCTTGCTCAAACAGTTTGAGGCATTTAAATTGCTTCACGCAAAAGCCAATGACCCATAATCAGCTTCATTACTCGAATGAGATCCAAAGATCGACTAATATTCTCCGACACAGTCTGACTAGGGCTGATATGAGACGAAAGATGCGCAGCGAGTGATGAACTTGGTTCGAAATTACCAACCTACTTTGATTTCAGACGAAGGAGTGGATAAGACGAGCTAGACTAGGTTGGCTGAATCGTAAAGTTTCTGCCCTGACAAACTGACATTTCAAGTCGACAATGCCCTACAGTAGATCAAAATATTTTACATAAATAATGTTGGTGTCCGACGCATTATTGGCAGTACAGCGTCTAAATCACAAGAAGTTGGCTCCATTCCAGTCATCATGCGGCTCATATCCTCGATCCTTCTTGCTGCCTTTCTCTCAACTCAGGTCTTTGCTGAACCTGGGGCTGAAGCTGAAAAATCGCCGGAAATAAAGGTACAGACATTCAGTTGTGGAAAGATCCTCAAAGTAAAATCTTCCAATATCCAAAACGCCTTACAATTCATTAACAAGAAATATGAAAAAGCTTCTGGGGCATGTCAAAAGAAATCAAATTGCCTAAAAAAATGGTATTATAAATATAGGAAATATGACGAATACACTGGAAACAGTTTCTCTAAAATAGGAAAAGATGATATCTTACTCCGAAAGTCAATCAGCGTTAAAACAAAGCGTAGAAGGTTTCAAAGTAGGCAATTTCGATTCACTCTTTCTGATTGCTGTCAAAAGCAATCGAGGTACTGACTGTTATAGACCGTTTCTATGTCATCGCTCGTTGTTCACCGAACACCAACTGTCAATATAAAGGTATAGTACGCAAGCCATACTTTCGAAAAAGGGATTTTCTATGTCATAAGACAATAGATGGTAAAATGGCTTCCAAAATTCCAGATGGCTTTCCTCAACCCTCTGCTCCGACTAGTCCAGATGGAAAAGAGATAGAAGTTGTTCCTTTAACTCCTAAACCCGCCTTTTCTCCGTCCGATACTTCAAAAAGCACAAGTAATGTCTAGACCTAAAGTCACCTACAACTTGCCCCAGATCTTCGATAACAATAGATGCTTCACGACTTCATGACTCAAGGACATTAGCTTGACATGATGGCTAGTATTTGAACCAGGATTTCGATGCAGAATAACAGGAAGATTTACGGAGAATCGATGAGCTAAACGACCAGACCAAAGATAATGTTACTAGAATGAACTATGTAATCAAAATTTGCTACGAGATCCTAGGTAATATAATTCGGAATTCCTCCATGGAACAGCACTACTTCAGCCATTAAAGTAGTATTACTCCATAATAGTTCCAAATCATAGCAGATGATCGATTCGGAGCCATTGAATATTTAGGACCTAAAGAAGGTGAAAGATGGATGGAGAATACCAAACCTTTACTGACGAATATTTGGGAGATCTTCATGTTATCAAATTTATGATAACTTTCGAAAACTATTTTATATTTTCCAGGCCTTAACCAGTTCCATTGTGGTTTTTTGGATCGTTGAAAAATGTTATATGAATATCAGGTAGTGGATTGGTTATGAGGCGTTGGCTATAGTGTGATAAGCTGGAGTTTTGAAGTAACTTGCATAAGGTGAAATCAAATCTTCCAACCAAATCTTTTCATATTCCATGTTGAATATTGTAAGTCAATGAAGTAATTAGGGGACTTTTTGTCGAATAGTAGCAAACAACTTATGAGTTCCGTAATCTAGATGCTTGGCGAAGACTCTCGATCCTAGCACCGAGTACCTATCAATGTCAATTTCTGTGTAGTAATCTAAAACTTCTATTATCTTCTTTTGATAGTTATATAGTGTTGACCAGGGTATCCTTCTGTTTGGGTTTCATGTTAATTATTATTTCATTCTATTGTCCTGTCTAAGTCTATGACTATGTAGGACTTACAGGTTCTCTCTGCCTACAGGCCAAGGATACCTATACCAGTAGTATATCCCCTCCTATGCCTCCCATACAGCTCCCCTCAAACAGTACCACCCCTCACAAGTCCTCACTCGATCATACACTTAGAGGAGCCCTTTGCCCTTCATTATCTCCCCTCTCCAGCCAACGAGACGATGGCCATTTGCGGGTGTATGGCAGCCGGGAAAAATCGCAAAAGCCACTAGGTGCGGAGCTCTTCTAATACCGACATTAGGACCAGATCTGAAGACATAGTGATACTTCTGAAGCGTTTCGGAGAGGCCGGGCAGCTGGGCGCTGCAGACTTGTGGGTACCTCGGGAAATTCACCCTTTGCCTTTCTAGCCACCTTCCAACTCCTTCCCGAAGGTCGTGCTGAAATGTCAGAAAAGTCTTGACAGAGCGTGATTTCTGTTTGGTAGCTTAGCCCAACTTCTTTTGTGCCGTCCAGGTCGCTGGGGAGTGCCGTAGACTCGTCGATAATTGAAGTTACTGTTGGAAAATATACCCTGTACAATATTATATGGATATATATGATGAATTAAAGAAGACTTGATATTTTACAACTATGGGAAAATTGTGTGACGGGCTAGGACTTTCGGCCAATGCACGAAAGCAATGCCACAATTAAATGTTTATATTTTCTATGAGGAATTTACAAGCGGGAAGCTATGGCTCTTTATAACTATAATGCATGTTCCAGATACCCTTGCCCTTTACACGTGATCTGATAATACTCCCGTATAGTGAGAAGATTTACAAACTCGCTTGAGCCATCAAGATAAGGATGGGCCCTATAGCCTTAAACAGCCCAGCCAGAACCCAGCTGGGCCTAGCCCGTAACACATTGGACTTATATATACATCTTAGGGCAGAAATTCCCACTAGTCTCATGTGCCTGTCAAACCTAGTGATGACCAGCCACCTCTCATCTACCATGATGAGCCAAGGTACACTGTAGTACGTAAATATCCAAATGTATGGGCGACTGTAGGCGCGATTAGCGTACTCGGGACATGTGTAGAGAAAGTCGATCTTGACTGGAACCTGTAACGAAACAGATAATGGTTGAGTCCTAAATTCGAGAGTCAGAATTTCTAACACCCACCATGGCCACCAGAGAATATACCCTTATCTCCATCTAGTACGTAACCACTTAGACGCTTCCTTATGCGTTCTCTTCGAATTTATTGAAGCGCTGCTGTGTTACAGCATGATCTCCTAGACGGGATGGTCCCAGTCCGGGCAAAGCCCGTCGCACAGGGAGACCAGACGTGCAGCATTCAAATATGGTAAATTAAGTCTTTGGATTGATTATGAGGAATATTGAAAGAGTAGGTCAAGATGATGCCAAAGGTAAATAAAATCTCGAAGGAGATGAAGTTCCACTATTTGAGAATGAGCTTTAGTGGAGAGGTAAATTATGCGTGACTCCACTTGGTTTCCAAGAGCTCTGGTAATGCTGTGAACACTGAAATGGCTTGACAGTGCAGCACCACACAATCTGGCCTTGTCCGTCTCATGCCTAGAAAGCCTGTAAACCTTCCCACGGTTTACATATGATCATAGGTTCGAATCAAGTAAGACTTGACAATATCTCTCACGGGGCATATCCAAGAGGAAATGGGCGTAGGATTGACTAGCTACAAGGGTTGTCATTAATTGTTGACTGATACTCTAGATAGGTTGTCAGTTCATTGTAAATCAACACAAGGATTAATTCTTTCTTTCGATAAATTTCAGAGTATGAGTGTCTCAAGGAAAATGAGGTGTGTGATCTGTGCGCGTTGCACCTATCATTTGCGTAACCTATAAAATGGAACGCTTATTTATTGATAAAAAATACCATGGAGATAATTCTTATCGTCACAAAGAGAAATGGATTAATATTAAAAACGACCCACGCTGCATGAGACGTGTAGATGCGGTGAAGAGGCATGACTAGTACTGAACAGAATGGAGTAATTACAGATTGGGAGAGCTTCAAGGGCTCGGGTGCGTGGTGGCCAGTTCTGAAGAGGAAATTGCTTTTCGACCCGCCAAGCCGGGCTGTCTGGACGGCTAAATTTAACGTGTTCAAGACGTGGGTGTAGCCTAGCGTGGTTCAGTCACCCAGGTGGAACGAGGTTTTTTTTTTAATTCATAGTGTATTCAGCTTTCTAGCCATGACACATTTAAAATATATAGATCTAGCTTTCCCCTCCTTATAAATCACTACCCCTTCATTCCAAATTTAACATATCCAAATTATTTGTCCTAATTTAACTCCCTTCATGTGCTGCCATGCACTTGGATGTATTGAACGAGGTTTATTGTACTCGCATGGTAGTTAATCTGATGCAGCTCGACACTTCTAGTGCTCAGGCTCCCATCGGAGAGAGGATGATGCCATTTGCCTAGCACGTTAAAATTCAAGCCAAACCTCACTTAAAAATTGAGAATATACATAACAACGAAACTAGGGCTGGATTATTTGTTGCTTTCTTTGATATTCTGGATCATCCAATTTGTGTTTTCATAGTTTCAAACCATAAATCTTTTAAAGAATATGTAGACAGGGGAAAGTTCTTAATAGAGAATATCTGTAAACAGCCTGTGATCATCCATGGAATAGCAAGACCCTTAATTTCTATTGAAAAAATTTGAAAATAAACCACACATAAAATAAATTAATTTTGGTAGCGTTTCGTGTAGTTTTGCCAGTACTTCATAGTCATAGACTCAGTTGGGACTTAAATTTAATTCTGTTCTATTCTATCATTCACGGAAATCTGGCGGTGTGGCAGGTTGGGGAAAGCCTATTGGAAGCATGGAAGCTGGTTTATCTTTTAGCATCAAACTACACTTAATCTCTTTCGAGTTGTACAGAGGCCTGCGGATGATTCCCAAAAATAAACAGCCGTATACGCGTGAACATTGAGCAACGGCATAATACAGATCTACGACAGTTAGTAATCAGATCTATTTCAGAATAAATCTGGAGGAATGTGCAAAAACTACTGACTCAAAGGCTTTTTACGGAATATTTTAAATCTGATAAGTTTTTTGAGCAATATTTCGTTATTTCCACTAACATGAAAATGAGTTCCTTGATACTTTAAATAATTCACACAAATTTTGCAGCATTTATTCAAGAGATTTGGTTTTATGCTGCATGATGACATTGAATAATTAAAGACAGTATCCATCACATTAACAGCTCTGTCGATTTGAGATGATTTTACTCTCAACCTTTTTCCACAGTCATATTTCTGTACTTTTTCTGCTTTGTGTTGTGCAAATACTTGAGCTGAAAGAAAGGCGACAAAAACGATCACGAATGTGAGCTGCATAATGATCGGAATGGAGCCAACGTCTTATGACAAAGTCGCTGTACTCCTAACTATGTCTTGGATACCACCATTATTTATTTGGAATATTGTCATCTACTGCTGGGCATTGTTGACCTGAAATTTCAGTTTGCAAGGATATAAACTTTACGATTCAGCCAACCTAGTCTAGCTCGTCTTATCCACTCCTTCGTCTGAGATAAAAGTAGGTTGGTAATTTCGAGCCTAGTCCATCACTCGCTGCACATCTTTTGCCTCATATCAGCCCTAGTCAGACTGTGTCGGAGAATATCAGTCGATCTTTGGATCTCATTGGAGTAATGAAGTGGGTTATGGGTCATTGGCATTTGCGTGGAGAAATTTAAAGACCCAAACTGATTGAGCAAGATGTCACAGATCAGATATAAAAGCAATGAGAATTTGTATAGAAGATGGTAGTTTATATTTCGACTAATGGTGAGCTATCTAGGGAGTCGGACGTGTATTTATACATTCCTTCTCATTCTATCCTCGGCCTTCATCCCAGGAATGATTATGGCTTACTGACTTAGATCCTTCTAGTAACTTGTCTCGTCCCTGGAAGGATCTTTCTTCATCGCTAGAAGATTCCCACTCTTTCTAGATGAAGTTCGAACATCTCTGCTCTAGTCTCGAATGTTCCACCAGAAAGATATGTCAGGCAAACATATCTAAGAATCTACGAGAATATTCCTGATCATACTTCACAGGAGCCAAGGACTGTCTGCGCTAGCCAGCATAGACTACAGGCATTACTCGGTTTACTAACCGTCACACAAGAGCTGTTCTGAAGAAAAACTGGGTCGTGCAGATAATGATAGAAGATCGTTATGGAGTGTAAGGATTCCTCTTCCGATCCTTCCTTCAGTATATAATTTTACCATTCTTTCTATGTTGCTATGACAACGGTACAGTTCTTGACACAGGATATCATGTTGATACTGGGCTAAGGTCTATATTATGATGAGCTAGTGGAAGGAGGGCAGGTAGATATATGATGGCTTGGTCTGTAGCTATAGAGTTCTTCACGCTTAGTTTTCTGTCACAACCACCACCTTCGGATTACCTCTGATCACCTCTAGTCACCTCCAGTTACCTCTTGTATCTTTAGTTACCATTAGTACCCACTCGAACCTCTAGACATTTTAGCATTTTATATTACCCAACTTTCAAACCTTTAGTTCCTCCAAGTTACCTCTTTTAGACCTTCAGTCATCTCTTGCAATCTTTCCGACCTCTTCTCGCCCTCTAATTCCGCTTCAGGTCAAACGCCTACGCTCCAATCTGACACTGGCTCACCAAGTCGTATCCCGGATTCGATAGGCATTTGCCTCGTGTTGCCGCCAACTCTTAAGGGCCACGCTCCCTCATCTACACGCGAAAAGGAGTCAAGTGCTAACAGCAAGCAATCTGCGAGACATCACCAGATCTCACCGCAGTAAAGGTAGAAGAAGTCATATTTGTCTCTGTATATTGCGCTCCTCGAGCAGACCTTTTTCCACTACTATTATGGACTCCATCTGGGCCTACAGTAATTGGCAGAGATTTCAATGCTGTTCACACTGACTGGCAGCTAATAGCCACTAGACTACACAGTGATAGTCAGGTGCTCACCGAATGGATGTTTGAGCATGGTATGGACCTATCTTCCACACCGGACATCCCAACACACAATCTTAGAAAGAAACTCGACCTAGTCTGGTCTAACGCTGGTGCCCTTGCAGATGTCTCAATAGAGCTTGACTCGACATTGGATCACAGAACTCTTGCAGGAGATGTTCCCCGCCCGAACTTGAAAGCTAGAGCTACTATCAAAACTGGCCAGCCAATACTAGTGACAGACAACGCCCTCGAAGACTTTGCCAAGGTACTAGCTAGGTGGGCTCATGGAATAGGTCTACAGCCAACAGATTCAACAAGTGCGGTGGACAACCTTGCGGATAAACTGGTTCAAACCATCAGCGATGCTATCAGGGCTACCGGAAGACTCGGGAGTACGAAGAAGGGTAGGACGGCACCTTGATGGAGCTTGGAGTGCTCACAGGCCAAACGCGAATACAGTATATTCAGGGACGAAGAGAGCAGAAAGGATTTCCGCGGCATAGTCAAAAGTGCAAAATGCCAATATTGGCAGCGAAAGTTCTCTGAAGCCACAAATGATATCGACATGTATTGGACGGCACGTTGGGCAAAGCACCAACCTGCATCTGCTGCCTAACCACTCCAAACATCGGATGGTTTTGTTTCGGATCCAGGAAAGCGTTCACTTCTATTGCGCGACCTCCTTCGCGACCAGCTAAGCAGCCAAAAGGACGTGGACACCGAACACCTCGAGCCAGGACGCGGAAACCCTCTATAGGTCTCAAGCGTCACTAATGAAGAAGCCAAGTGGGTCACAATGAACTGCTAAAATAAAGGTCCTGGAGCAGACGCGATTTCTGTGCGGCTTCTTAGGACAGCCTGGCCGTCAATTGGTCATGCAGTGAGAGTTCTCTTTGAGGGCTCACTTCGACTGAACCACTTCCAGAAGGCATTCAAGCTAGCCGAAGTGATTCTTCTTCCCAAGCCTGTCCGTAACCTCAGTACAGCTAAAGGATGGAGGCCCATTGCTCTGCTCTACTCCCTGGGCAAAGGTCTTGGGAGACTATTCAGAAGGCGTATGGCTTACACCGCCATTTCGCACAAGGCCGTGCTGCAGCAGCTTTTTGGAGCACTCTCTGGTAGATCTGCTAATGACCTTGTATCATTTGTTATCCACGGTGTGGAACATGCAATGAAAATGCAGAAGAAAACAGTCCTTGTTACTCTGGACGTATAGGGGGCGTTCGATGCTGTACTCCACAGAAGGTTGATGCAAAGGATGAACAAAGCTGGGTGGCCAAAACCAGCCATCACTTGGATAAAGTCTCTCCCGGAAGAACGATCTGCCCGCATCAGACATAAAGACGGAGTTAACAAACCCAATATTCCTAGAATGCAGGCTGCCACAAGGATTGCCTTTATTCCCAATCCTCTTTCTGCATATCAGAGCAGCATGTAGACAGTAGGGAAGAAACATAGTTCAAATAATGGGAATTCAGGCTGAGGGGAGCCATCCGACGCTACGCATGAGATACTTGCATAACCACTCGGCCAAAAGGCCAGACCAGAATCATAGAACACTAGGAACTAGTTATCTCCACATATATAGATTATACTGAACGCAATCCTAACACTCAGGCAAAATTATCAATGCAGAGGTCTACAACACAGAGGTTCATGGAGCTTTGGCTGCTCTAGAAGCAATCACTGCTAGCAACCGAGATCGAGGACACAGCATCATCTATTTCCTGCTCGAAAATACTGCAGCTGTTAAGGCTTTACTGTCAGGATTGACTTCTGTATAATCTATATATGTGGAGATAACCAGAACCTAGTGTTCTATGATTCTGGTCTGGCCTTTTGGCCGAGTGTTGGAAATGGAGACACAGAGTGTTGTGGACGTACGGGACCTCCATTTTGTCTAGGTTCCCAACACAATCTTGTGTGTATTTAAGAGGTTGAAATGAGTAATATGGTAGCGCTTCAGGCTACCTATTGGAAATATGAGCGGCTGTATGGCGTGGGCGCAAGGAGGTTATTGGGGGTTTTCTATGCCTAGATAGCGCCACACTGGTTTATGCTGTGGCTTTGGCTCTGTGTCGCTTACACTTGTACTTGTAGCGCACACTTCCCACACTTTTAGCTGTAATCCGAACATGACACTCTGTTAGTCAACTTCTACTTTCGTTCCACTAATATTGCGCCCATTTCATTGCGCAATATTTCCAACACCAAATGGTTATGCACCTATCTCATGCATAATGTAGGATGGCACCCTTTATCCTGAATACCACCTATTTGAACCATGTCTCTGCCCTGCTGTCTACATGCTGCTCTGACATTTACTGATAGTAACAACGGGCTCATCATTATGGTAGATTCAAAAGTTAGTGAATATGGCTGCAGGATCAGCAGCACTCGTGAAAATAGGAAGAATCCTGGGCCACGAAGGTCTGGTAGGAAATGAAATTGCCAATAGACTCGCTCGAAGAGTGTTATGATAATAAGGTCATGAGAAGACAGAGGAATATCTGAAATGGATGCAGATGATTATAGATATGCAGATATAATTGATGTAGCTGTAATGCGAAGATGCGTTGGAATGGACAGTGGTAAGATGGTTATCTATTGTTGAATTATAAGATTCTTGGTCAAACATAATCATTCCTGTACCTGAACATAATGGAGTTATGGTTGTATTTATTATTAAAGTACTAGGGGGTATCTGGAATGATAGAAGTGAACGCTGACCGTCAAGTCAATACTGTAGGAATCGTAAGATATTGGGGATTTAAGGATCAGAGATAAAAGGTTAGGATCAGTGAGGTTTTTGGTTTTACTGAACTTATATTTCGGTAATTACAAGTGTTAGTGTTTAATCTACATCTAATTGTCTATCTATGTTCTACCTCGCTTAGTTAGAAACATTGTGTTCTGACTACGTGATGGAATAACATTCACACCACCGAGATCATCACCAACCGAGACCTCACCAAAGCTGGTAGCGATCGAAGATGAGTAGTCTTCGTCTACTCCGCACTGCGTGCAGTTCGGTCTGGCATGTCTAGATTTCAACATTTATTACTTACTTAGGAGTATGGAGGGTAAGGCGTTTGGAGATCTTAGATACCCTGTATTAGTAGTTCCTTAATAGCGCATAGACGAGGCTGGCAGACACATATTAATAGGAGTATGGGCGCAGCATTGAAGGATGCTGCGATTGCGAGAATCATACATGATAGATTAACTCAATACTTTATCAATTCTACTTCCAGCACTTACATACCACTTGTATACAAGAATCTTATTCTAAAATCTATGTTGAAATATGATATATCTTGGAATGCCAAGAATAACTTATTAGTAAGTCCGGCTAATTTGACTATCAAATTCCCCATTCTATA